CCCCAAAACCCCCAAAACCCCAAAACCCCGTATCATCAAAATTTATGAAATAAAAATTAGAGTAAAGTTGAATTAAATTTTATATTATTGACCGAAAGTATTAGTTCCCTGAAATTATTGTTCATAGGCAGATAAAAAGAAATAACTCTTTATCTACTATTCACCTGAGAATAGGGTATGTAATATCTTTCCCAATACCACATATAGAGTTAGTTTTATTTTCCATTAATATTTTTGCGTACCCATTTTCACCCCAGCTGGTCCCAAAAGAGTTCTTAATAATCCAGTAGTTTGTGGTTTTGTCTTGTTATCCCCATCCCACTAAAACTACAGCATGATCTATATTTGTTCCGCATAGACTTGATGAGATTATTCCTTTTTTATAGAATCTGAAAATGTCACTATTGCCAGATATTCCTATAGCAAGAGGGTTCTTCATTAAGAGCCCTTTTATGTATGTAGAATTTGATGATGAGCCCTAATAAAATTCTTTTATGTTAAGAACACCTGAGGGAATTAATGAGGCACGACAAATTTCCTCCATAGCTGTGTAGGGATAGTAATCTTCAGACACAAGCTTTATATCTTAAAGATAATAATAAACATTGGTCATGTGCCCACCGTTACAACCATTATTACCAACTGCAAAGCTGCAGTCAATCAATTACTATTCTGATAAATCTATCTTAAAATTCTTGACTGGGTCTTTTATAAGTAGAATAGATTCGATTACAGCCGTTGAGGCAAAAGAGTAACAACTTCCACATGATTACTAATCTTTAATTGGTGTTACTACCCCTTTTGTTCTCCAATCAAAATTTGCAGGCAATTATATCAAAGGAGTTTGTAAAGGAGATTCATTACTAGCTATATTTTTAGTATTCTTATTAATAGCATTAGTTGTAGAAGTAGTGTTGGGCTAACTTTAATTGAGAGTATCTGTATTCTAATTGTTAAGTTATTAGCCCCTATACTGTTCTGAGGGACTTTGTAGTTTTAAAATCTTACTCTTAAAAGTTTCGAGTGATTAGTCTGAAAACTAATTCAAACCTAATACTAAATCACCTTTAGAACCTTTATTTAGTTATTCTATTGAGACCTTATTCTTTTGAAAATTGCTAAGCCCAGATTTGAACTATAGAGCTGTTTTATAGCCTTTGTTGTATTAATTTAAGAAACCAGTAAATTAGAATTTCAGCTACTCTAGTTCGTCCTCAAGAATAAGTTATACTTAATCTTGCTATTCTTGAAAGGTTAGAGCTACTATAACTAAAATTGATATTGAGATAGCAATCAGAACTAGGACATAAAAATATCGATTAGACAAATAGATTCTCTTTATGAAGTTTGTGAATTGATTATCTGACATTCAAATACTTTAATTATAAATCGTTAATTTATAATAGTCCTTTTTTATTTATAATTTTAAAATTACTTTCATGATTAACTCTGGGGTTTTGGGGTTTTGGGGTTTTGGGG